AGAGTGATGCCAGGGAATCACCTTGTATGTTAAGAATTTACAGTATTTCCAAAGTAGGAAACTCAAGCAATGTAAACATACTTCAAGATGGAAAGCAACAGCAGATACATATACAGTGGGCCCTCCATATCCACAGTCTTGCCATTCATGGATTCCAGCATCCACAGACAGCAGGCCTGGGGGGAGGGGCAGCAGAGGAGAAAGAAGGAAGAAGAATTGGGGAAGAGGACGACAATGAAGGGATGGTGGCAGACGTTGGAGACAATGGTTCTTTGCCACCCCAGACACCCAAAGCCTATCTCACCGCTTTACCACAGCATGTCACAGGAGGCTACCTCGTCCTCCCCTTCCCCCACTGTCTCTTCCCTGACTGTACTTCCATCCTCTTCTTCTTCCCTGCCAGCACCCCTGTTGCCACCCCCTCTTCCTCCTCCTCATCTCCTTCGCTGGCAACTCCAATCTCCTCCTCCTCCTCTTCTTCCCTGCCAGCACCTCCACCACTGCCCCCTCCTTCTCGTCCCCCTTTTCACCACTGGTACCACCATCCTCCTCTTCCTCCTCTTACCCGCCGGCACCTCCGTCACTACCCCTTCCTCTTTCTTCTCCTCCTCTTCCCTGCCAGAGGAAGGAGGAACAGGAGAACGGAGGTAATGTCAGAGGAAGAAAGAGTGACTGGCACAAGGTCTCTCAGTGGGTTTCATGACTGAGCTGGGAATCCAAACCTGATCTCCAGAGTCATATAGTCTAGCACTCAAGACATGACACTGGCTCTCCATTTTTGACTTATGGTGACTAATGCCACCATATCCTGGGGTTTTCTTGGCAAGGTTTGTTCAGGGGAAGTTTGCCATTGCCCTTCCTCTTGGGGTGAGAGAGTGTGACTTGCCCAAGGTGGGTTTCAGTGGCTGAGCTGGGGATAGAACCCTAGTCTCCAAAGTTATAGTCCAACACACAAACCACCAGGGCTACAAAAGGGGAGGGGGTCCTTTTCTTCTTTCAATGGGGGCTCCAGGTACCCTGACAGCCTCGCCCTCTCAACTCAAAGCTTGGATCCTTCCAGGTTCCAACATGTGGGGTTTGTATTTCTCACATGAGGAAGGAGAGGCAGGCAAGGAAACTTCACACATTTGGCACCGGGAAGCAGGAGCTAGGAGGAACACCTGAAGAAGCCCCACTGCCCTTCTCTTCCCTGGCAAGGAAGCAGCTGGGGCGGCAAGGTGCCATTTCCCCCAATAGTGTCAAAGTGCCATTTTCCCCACATGGCCATGCCACCACTGAGGTCAGTGGGACTTGAGCATCTGCAGATTTTGGCATCCAGAACGGATCCCCCACAGATACTCAGGGCCCACTGTATTTAAAATGATATACCAGGCAAGTACAGGATAAAGACTAAAAGACAAGGGAACACCCAAATTGATCATTTTTATCACCAAACCACTGTTTGAAGAGGTAATAGGGGCATGGGCTGAAACATGTGAACACTCCTTCAGTAAGGATATGTCTAAGATAGTTCTTCCTCCATTTTATAATACAGCAAACTATTTTTCTATAGAGTTTATAACAAAGCAATTCAAAGGGCAAAAAATATATACTTAAGGATGCAAATTAAGAGAGAACTTTTGAGAACTTCTGAGAAGACTTGGCAGTTAGCTATACAATGGCAGGGAACATCGTTTCTTCTGGACAGACCAGATCTATTTTATATCCAAATACTAGGCTACAAATGAATGCACTGAAAGAAATATAGCTAGACTGCTTCCTAGTTTAGAGCATGAAAAAGCCAAAATAAATAAATCAGAAGAGTACTGTAACTAAGGGGAAGAAAGTCTAATTGGCAGCCACTAAGATACTTCAGTTTGCTGGGAGAGTCTTTGGAAAGGTACTGGAAACCCATTTCCTTTCCAACTTCCTGAAACTATTTCCTTTACACATCTTTAACTCCAAATCTTATTGGCAGTGTTGTTTATGAAAACCTCTGATTATGTTCAGAATGTCTATGTTTCACAATGTCTGCATTAGCTCAGAACATTAAGCCAAAAGTTGCTGGAAATTGTGCTTATTGATAATGAGCCCAAATGTGCTGCTTGCTGCCCAACACCCCAGCAGCTGGGAATGACTAAAGCAACAATGAGCTCACCAGCAATAAAAATCTTGGTGTTATATCTGAGACTGGGCTCCTGCTCCTCTCTTTTCTAACAAGCCAGGGTTTGTAGCTTGCTTCTGGATCCTAGCTTCTTAGGAGAATGATCAGCCAAGCTCTGGGTATGGATATAACACCAGGGCATTTAAGTCAACGGGGACCATATATATCGCCATCCTGATAATGTTTAAAGCAGCTGCAACCCACAAAAGCATGCAAGAAAGAGGGTAGAATGTGCATTTGGTTTTCACACAGATGCGTGTAAATCCCAATAATAGTTTGGGAATCACTTTCTTTGTGCATGTGCACAGAAGAAGTAGCTGTGTCACCAGAAATCACCCAGAGAAATAAACAATTTTATTTAACAATTTTCTTTATAAAAATATACTGTACTGTCCCTTACTTTCCAAGAAATGGTATCCAACCTAAGTAAAAGGAGCAAAATGCAGGTTCTGACACGTTTACACTTCCAATTTTCCTCATGTGATAAATTCCTACGTTTTGGGTGTTTTTTTACTGCTGGTAAACTCTCGACTATTTTATGCCAGGAGTGAGCACAAGCAGTTTGGGATGCCCAGGCTTCACCCCACTACTCTAACCACATGCACGCCAGGAAACATCAAGTCATGACTATGCTCCCCAGGTTCCCTAACTGTATCAGCCACAATGTCCAACCAACACTGCAGTTGCACATCTGGCTTTGCTCTATCCCCAATTCCCCCACTGAGAGGAAAGTAGGCAGAAGAAAAAGCATTTCACAAACTCAAGCTCTTTCTGCATAAGTATTTGTGCAACCTGAAAACTTCACCCACATCATACTTTTTCCCATTCAGGAGTATGTTCAGGAGCAAAGCTCTCCACTGTTATCTCTAGCTAGATACAAGAAATAACTGGAGAAAGTCCTCTGCATGCAATTGACCCCTCTAATTGGGAAAGAAAACAATGGGGGGGGTATTGGTATCAGATAACAATGTGATTCCCCTTTTCCCATCTCTTTCTCCAGCCGACCAACTGGTTCGCCCTCCTTGCTTTAGGCACTTTGTTGTTCATGTGTGCCTTCAAGTTGTTTCCAACTTATGGCAACCCGAAGGTGAATGTATCATGTAGCCTTCTTGACTCGCCCAAGGTCACCCACTGGATTTCCCTGGCCAAAAACAGAATCAAATCCTGGTCTCGAACCACTACACAACACTGGCTCTCTCCAGCACCACCACTTGCAAAAGTAGCAGGAACAATCAAGACAGAGAGCACCAACACACATGTATATGTTAAGCCAGAGCTTACCACTCTGTGAAAATACAACCAATATGAATTTACAGAAGAAAATAACTACTTAATAAACAAGGATTCCAATGAAGAACAGAATATATAAATACAAATAAACATGCAAAGTACCAGTGTACATCATGTCATGCTGAACTAGTTAGACATCAACAATAACTAGTTAGACATTTCTTGGAAATCCACAGGCAAACTCATACCAGTGACTAATATCCACTGCCAAAATATATCAGAAGTGTCTGTTTAATCATCATGTCCAAGTTTTTGATAGACCTATCTCTGATAGATCGATATCTTTTTTCAATTATTTTATTATTCTTCCCACCACTTCACCTTACCAATTTTTTTGTTAAAGAACTCAAACATTTTTAATTTTTGTCACATAAGGAAAATCTTGCAAACTTTAGACTGACCTTATTCGGTTACCCATTTGCACACCTCTTCCAAGGTCATAAATGGGTAACTAAGTTGAGTTGAACTCCTAGTTTGTACACAGCATTCCATATGCATCATGGGCTTGTAACTCTTCATCTACATTTCAGTTCTTTTCTTTCTAATAGCTGTGTGAAATTTGCCTTTTCACAGCTGACATGCACCAAGCTAATGCACATTAACCTCCACAATTCCAAGATTTCTTCTGCTGATAGCCACTGCCAGTTCAGCCCCACTAATGCACAGGTAAGATTTTTGGCCTTAATGTGCATCACTTCTGATTTATTTAAACGGAACCTTATTTGCCATTTTGTTGCCCAGTTTAGACAAGCTCGGAGCCCCCTGCATGGATTTTCAGCTTAAATAACTTGTCATTACATGAAATCTTGGCTATCACACTGAAAAAAAGACATTGCTTTTTTTGGTACACAGAGGGTTCTCAGATACACACTAAATGATGACAGCTTCTTCGTGTACTTACAACATTCAACACTAATCAGCTTCTCCCCACCATCAGCAAGATATCTTCACAGGCACATGTAACTTAAACAAAATAATCCCCCTTTTTATTTGATTTATAACATTTCTGGGTTATCAACACATAGGCTACGACTTATAGTCTCAAATGTGACTATCTGAGTCAGAGGGTCTCAGGAAATTTAGGAATATTATAAGCATATAAGGATAATGTGTCTTGGAGAGTAAGACTTTAAAGAAAACAAATCTGCTTGTTAGGATTACAATGTCATACTGAAAAAATCATTTTTAAAAGCTTTAGAACAGTATCAAATTTGCTGGAATATATGAAGGTCAAGAAAGTATCTGTAATTGATACAATAAAAACAGAAACTATGGAATGTGCTATGTTAATTTAGCCAAGCTGACCTGTTCCTAGTCAAAGGAATTATGCAAGATATATGGATTTTGCATTCAGATGCCAAAAATTTCTGCCACTAGATATAAAAGGTTTACTCAGAAAAGCCATTTGGAAAGATACTAATATTTCTATAGTATTATAGTGTGCTTGACAGGTAGTTTCAATGTCATGTGACTGGTATTGTCTTCTGGGAAAATTCCATGTAAATCAGGTAATAGCCATCTGTAATCCCAACAGTGAATTCCTCAGCCCTTTATTTGTAGGGAAGGAGCCAGTGTGACATAGTGGTTTGAGCACTGGACTAGGACTCTGGATACTAGAGTTCAAATCCCTACTCAGCCATGGAAGCCCATTGGGTGACCTTGAGCAATTCGCACACACTCAACCTCAGAAAACCCTGTGGTAGGTTTGTCATAAGCCCAAATTGACTTGAAGGCACACAAAAACAACAGCAGCAGCAATAAAATATTAATAAGAAAGGAGAACAAGTATCAAAGAAGACAATATTTACTATGCCAAATTAACTTGGTAATAAACTAAGTTGTTATAGTAGCATAAACAATTCTTATTAACAAGACCTAATTTTGCATTTTGTTAGAAAATGTGTACATTTCTAAACTTCCAAGTTTGCTCACTGATTAACAATGAGCAAAAAACAGTTTCCAAGAAGGCCTACTGAATTCTGTTGACTTTATTCAATAACACACATCTATACATAAGACTCCTAAGGCATGTGTAATGTATTTATGCCCCAGCTCAAATAAGAAGCTTGCCAGTTATAGCTAGTGCCTCTCAAAAAATCTCCTTTCATGTGTAAAATAATACTGGATAAAACTTCTGGCTTATCAAAATCTGTGTAGCAAACTGTGCTTCTCAGTAGCCACTGGACTCTTGAGAAATGCTGGTGTAATCTAGGGGTGGGAAGCCTTTGGCTCTACAGGTGTGTTGGTTTACAAATCCTATCAGTCTGATCCAGCAGCTCTGATGATGATGATGATGATAATAATAATAATAATAATAATAATAATAATAATAATAATTTATATCCCGCCCTTTAGAAAACGAATCAGGGCGGCTCACAACCATAAAATCTTACATAATATCCCAAAACCAACAATCCCTCCACCCCCTTAAAACAGTGTTAAATCCATAGAATTAAAACCACAGTTCAACAATTAAAACAATTAAAATACTTGAACAATTTTCCAAAAAGACAATATGATAAGAGCTCATGGAGGTTGTAGGTCAAAACTTCTGGAGGGTCTATTATTGCTCAATCCTGGTCCAACCATGCTTCATGGTGACTACATATAAAACTATTTATCCAAAGAAGAATGCTACCACTACTTAAAACAGTAAAACTGAAAACCTCAACATCATATGGTACTCATAATTTATATCATGGTAGTTCAGAACCATTGAAGTAAATTTTTCCCACTGTCCAGAGTATTTCCCTTGCAGCCTAGTTCATGCAAATATATCCATGAGCATTGGAAGAGCACTGACAAACCTGTAGAAAAGGAGTGGGAATCATATAGCTCCCCAAATGGTACCGGGCTAAAACTCCCAGCATTCCACACTGGCTATGCTGGTTTCTGGGACCTCAGTTGATCAATTTCTGAAGAGTCTGTGTATACTAACGTGCAATTTGTATCTACAGCCAAATAATTCACTTCCATCCCAAGTCCTCTGTAAGAGACTTTTCCCTTTCTTCTGCCAACTCCAGTTCTCAGTGAAAAAGGCAAGTGTTTCAGCTCTTAAAACCATTCAAAGCAACCTTGAACAAAGCAAAACAAAAATCAAATGGAGGATACTCTTCTAGGAATCTTGTCACAGTTTAAAACATTTCTATACAGTTTCTTTTCATACTACATGTTACAATTTCCTGCATCTGGAGTGAGTTAATACAGGAATCCTGAAACTAATTTGGCTTTGCTGTAAATCTAAAATTATCTTGAGACTTTCAACCCAATTTTTAAATCCTCTCCTGATACAAGTCTTACTAAAGTACGTGAGGCTTATGGAGGCCATTAAACCAGCTTAGGACTGCTACCAGTAAGTTTCTTATTTTTCAGCTGATCTTCATTTATTTTTTATTATCAAACCAACTGCTTCTATTTATCCAGATGCTATATATTCAACTATTGATAGAAAATCCAGAAATGCCCAATTCTAGTTAAACACTAGCTGATATCTAGGTTTTTAAAGTATAATTAGGCCAGGGAGGCTTTGTACAGGAGGTAAGCTTCAGATATTTTAACTTTTTGTATTTTTTAAATGTCATTTTATACTGTTTTAGCTAGTTGGTTTTAATTGTTTTTCACTTTTTATTGTAAAATCTTTTAAAACATTTTATCTGTGAGCTACTTTGCATCTTTTTCTGAGAGAAAGGTGGCATAGAAATGAAATGAAATAAATAAAACTTCTAAACTTTATTTCTTTATTGTCCTCTCTAGTGCAAAAATAAATGACCAGTCAAAAGCATCAATTTGGTCTAAAACAGCAGGAGCACAGTTGGGGAAAGTTACTTTTTTAAAGTATTTTCCAAAAAGGTAATTTCAGTCAGCTTGACTGAAGCATCACCCATTCATTCTTAGGGGGGTTGCAGACTGCCAGAGATACTGCAAATTGAGTCCACTTTTAGGGTTAGGGTTAGGGTTAGGGTTAGGGAATCATGGAAACTGTATTTTATTGTAGCACCAGAGCTTTCTCACAGAGAAGGCTTAATGTCTCAGAACAAAAACAATTCCCATGATTTCCTAGCACTAACCCTAACCCTAAAAGTGGACTCAATTTGCACTATTTCTGGCAGTCTGCAACCCCCTTTAGTTTCCCTTGTTTGTCAAACACCTTCATACTAACTTAGCCACCACATCCCCACATACCAGGTACAGTTAATGCAATATGGGAAAGTTTAAAACAGTGTCCTATTATTCTGTCATACCCTATATAAGGCAAAAAAAAAAGACCAAATATGAATCACTATTTCTTTTGTTACTTATATTTCACTTCTCCTTCAGTGAAGCATACATGACTCTCCTTTCCACATTATCTTCATAACAATCCTGAAATTTAGGTGAAGTTGAAAGAGAGGAATGTTCCAAGGTCACCAAGAGAGCTTCATAGCTCAGTCTACTGAGTCAGACTTGACTTCATATACTATGAAATTAATAATTTTCTTTCTCGATTCTGCACAATGGAATCCAATATTGCAAGCCCTACAAAGTTCAGTAAATGTGTGAATACAGACTTAGTATGGCTAGTCCTCCATATCCACAGATTTTTTAATCCACAGATTCATCCACAGCTTGAAAATATTTTTAAAATATATAATTTCCAAAATGCTAATTTTGATTTTGTCATTTTATATAAGGGGCACCATTTTACTATGCTATTGTCTATAATGGGACTTGAGCATCCACGGAGGATCCTGAAACCAAACCCCAGTGGACATCAAGGTCCCATTGCATGATTCAAATCTAACACTATGTATAAAATAAGGCATTAGCATATTTCAGAGACAAGAAAGACACTTACGTTTTCCTACGAAAAAAAGTTTCTTATTTGACACTTACCTGTTCATAACTTTAGTGGCCATGTTCAAAATGCCTGACAAATACATTATTAATACACTCGTCCCTCCACATGCATTGGGGTTAGGGGCACAAGACCCCAGTGAATGTGGAAAAACTGCAAACAACAAAAACACTATCCTCATTACGGCGCTAAACTAGTGCTGCTATTCCACTTTTACTGCTTTGGCTGCCTCCTGTTGCATTCTGAGGCTTCTAGTTCAGTTAGGACTAAGAGCTTTCTGGCTGGGAATTCTAAATGCCCCTCCCTGAACTACAAATTCCAGAATGCAACAGGAAGCAGCCAGAGTAGTTAGTGGAATAACAGCACTGTAAGAGTGTAGTGCAGTAATCTAGTATGTTTTTACCTGAGAGAACACCTCTCTAGGAATCTCTAGGTCCTCCAGTGCAACTCTGTGGTCAATATCTGCCAGACATTGACAACAGAATTGCACTGGACGAACTACAAATGCCTAGTGGAGTGTTCTCTCTAGCAATCTCTAATGCAATCCGTGAATAATCAAATTCACAAAAGTCAAAACCGCAAACGTGGAGGGACGAGTGTACAGTAAAAGAAACATTTCTAAATTACAATGATTTTCTAGCAAACAAGGGAAGCTGAAAGGATAGGTGTCCTAAAAGATCTCCTATTTACTCTTTAGAGTTAGACTTTGTCCATGCCAAGTGAACTGCTATTGTTCAGAAACATTTAACACAAAACCTGTTGAAACCAGAATATTTAAAGAAAAATAAAACCCACTGATGACAGCTGCAAGCATTCTCCTGCAATTTATAGCAGTTGTCAGATCTCTAACACTATCACTTAAGAGTAGGTACACTCAAATGTTATGTTTCAAACCTTGCTATTTCTAAATAATTCTTATTATTCAGGGGTTACTTAATGAAAAATGAACTGTTCCAAAAGCACTCCACTGCTCAGGTGATTGGATTACTTCATAGATTAAAAGGGAGCATGTTACACCACCTAACATGCAACTAAAGAAAAAATGTTTCCAGAAAATGAAATTTTCAGCTGCTGCAGTATCACATGAGTAAAAAATAGCTTGCCACTAATCATATTCATGAGAAGTATAATTTCTTATGTGTTCTTGTAACATGCAAAACAGTTTACAACTCCACTCCTGGCTGTCCTGCTTGATCTTGGTCCAAACCTTATTTGCAGCCCAAAGGCAGCTCAAGAACTAAAGTACACTTACAGCAAAAGATTGGTCAGGTCCTGAAAGTCACAGGATACTTCCAGTGGCAGGGTCAGCCAAAATGCAGAGTTTCAAGACACCAGCTGAGATCATGTTTGAAAAGAATCCAATGGACATCATGATCCAATAGAACAGTAATTATATAAAACCAAAGTCAAATACACTGGGAAAATCAAAGAGGTAGAGCAAAACTGAGAGGCTTCTGTAAACTGGCCTTGCAAAGCCCCACCTAGACCCAGCTGCAGTTATCCCAGCCCTCAAACTTGTACTCTTCTGAGGAGGCCTCTATTGCTAAGAAGTCTTCCTGAGAAGATGCATATTTTCTGAGAAGAAAAAGAGACTATCTGGGTCATCAGATGTGAAGACTTCCAAGAGTCAAAATGGGAGCAGGTGTAGCCTCCAGTCTCATGCAGCTTGCAGCCTCCCATTTTGCAACCCCCGACACCCCAATTCCCAGCATTTTTTTTAAATTAAAAAAATCACAGGCTATTCTTTGCCCAAAAACACTGCTAAAAGGTCAAAACCACCAAAAAAATGCAGTGCTTTTGTTCCC